AAATATATGTTAATTTACTTTGTGACAATGTTTATTGAGACTTATCTTTGAACTTTGAATATAAATTTTTGCTTCGATTTTGCTTATTTTTCTTATTTTTCTTATTTTTGAAACTTATGATTTTAGTAAAAAATATTATATGTAAAAGCTTAGCAAGAAAGTAAAAAAAAAAAAAAATATGAAAAATATAAATAAACTTCAAAAAAAATTAATTATAAAAATATTTTATGTAACTAAAATTGTTATTATATTTCACGTGACTAAAACCGTTATTTAAGTCAAAAAAGAAGAAATAAAATTTAAATTTATTAATAATATAAAAAGTTAATTTAATAACAAGAATAAATATTGTGAAAAAAAGTTTAATACACTATGGCAATTGTGTGATAATCCAAACGTAATACGTAAGAATTAATAAAGAAAACGAATTTAAAACAGTAAGAGAAATGTTAATAACTATACAGTAATAAAATCACAACATTATTATTTGTTTATAAGATAATGAATATTAAAAAAATTAAAAAATAAAGATTAACATGCGTAACGTTTTAGAGATCTGTTAAGGCATATGATAAAATTGCATTTTAAAATTCTTTACAATCCTGCACGAAATTTATTTTTAAGCATGTAAATCCCTTATCGAAATATAAAAAGGAATTGATATTTATTGGTTAGATTTACGATATAACCCAATATTATGTTATATTTTGTGTATTATGTTATCTAAGCTTCACTTTAATACGTTCCTATCAGATGATCATTTTAAGAGATTAACGTATTACAAGAGACGATATCAGATATAATAGATGCAAATTAAATAACGTATAACTTAATAACAACTTTTAATAAGAAATCATCACCACGCGTTATCTTATAATTACGTAACTGATGTACCTTCATCCGGTGTAACTTCATCACTTAGTTCGGACAAAACTGGGGTATTGACATTGATTACTTGCTTTAAGCTATAAAATAAATATGATAGCACGAACTGTCCAAAAGGCCCGGACATCTTCATCGTGTTACAGTATCTTTCAAGTATAAAGGAGATAGAAAACATTTCAGATAATTGATAATGTCAGATATTGATAAGATAAGGTAATTTAGTCTGTAACGGTAATACTGTAATAGTTCTATATAAAATCACGTGAACCAATCAAACATAAAAAGAATTTCCGTTACACCGTTTTTGGTGTACGTCCTTGGCAGGGGTTTTATCGTTAGAAGAAAATGCCCGGAAAATAGGTAACGTAAATTATTCTTTCAATACACGGAGATAGTAAACCATCAATAAATTCATTATCGGATGCATTTGAAACGATATACAGTGTATGACTTTTTATCGAGAAAAGTAAATGAACGAGATTGTATGTATGTATGTAGGTAGGTAGGCACGTATGCGTTTGACAAAAAGTACAATTATGTGACGAATGATATTTTATTCGGAAAACCCGGATAGTGATAAGATTGAGGATACAATTTCACGTGAAATTTGAAATAAATTTTAAAAATATAATTGGCAAATTTTTGGTGCAGAAAGATCAACATGTAATGGTGCATATAACTAAAGGGAACAATCGTGTATCTGCTATCAATCATACGATATTTTTGCAACGTAACTTTGGGAATTTGAGGATCAACGAAAATAAACTAAATAGTATTTTAAACACAGTCTTTTTTAAATATATAATTATAACATTATTTTATTAACGTTATCGTTATAATGCTATACGTATCAGATGAAAAACGTAGTTCTCATTGTATGCTTAATGGCGTTTTCTGCGGCCGATATTACCTTAAAAATTTGTGACAGGTAATTTACTAATTTACTCTAAGATCAACTACGTTTTCCTTATCAGTATTATATACAGCTTAGATTATGTGGCAAAGATATTTTTATCTCTGCAGAATTTAGCAGTCAGAAGGGTTTATCATCAATAATAATTCCTATCAGTTATACGTATCGATTGTTTAAGCCGTAAAGTGAATCATCGTTACAAGTAATGAATATTTGAATGACAAGAAATACGGAATAGGAAGAAAGGGAAAAAAAATATGTGGAGAATTTATGAGGGCGTGAGTATTTTTTTACAGTAATTATTATTTAAGAATAAATTTATGGAAAATTACGGAATCTATGAATTTTTTTCGCAATTGTTTGTTTTGCTTTTACTGGAACACATGAAACCTGCAACGGAAAGTAACCGGAATTACTACATGTTCACCCGTTAATATTAAAAATTGATAAGCGAAACAACGACAATTATGGCGTAACAGTAAAATCTTTTGTTATCTTTTATCGATCCTGCATTTAGCATGTTAAGTTGTCCAAATGACTTGATTAAAGGATTGGAAACTACATCAGTCGATCTTACATTACAAGATCTTATTGGACCAAAAATTTTCAGTTTTATGTAAAAGAACGAATATTTAGGATCTGATAGAAAACGAGAAGGATCTGATAGAAAATATAAAAAATGGGATGTTAAGGTCATGTGTAAAATTAATTTAATTTATTATTACAGTAATTTATTTATTACCGTATAATAATTTTATAATTAATTATATGATTACAGTATATGGTTATTATTAAATCATTTATAAATCTTTTATTATAATAATAATAAATTTATTATAATGATAATAATTACGAAAATTTATCTTTTTAATGAAATCACCACACATAAGAAAGTAGTAGCAAGAGTCACTTTAGATCAATAATCGACAAAAAGGTTGATTTGTTTATTGCATGTAATGCATATCAATGGTAACATTTAGTTGGCAGTAATTTGTCCCAAACATCCCGATAATTACCTGTTTGTCTTATCAACTTTAGCTGTCTTTAGTATTTATTTATGTTTGTAGGATGTTCTGATATCACTAAGCAGGTTAATCAATATTAAAATTGTCATTTTTATTAGTCGGTGATACCGCGTTTCTTCCCGCATTTTTTTTTACTTTCTTTTACATTCCGTATTTGGTCACCTCAAAATGTGGGGACAATCAATTGAGAATTCCACGTTCCGGTACCCTGAATTTGTTATCTTTTCTGATATTATATATACCGTATCTATTTTATAATTTAATTGCAGGGGACGGTTCAAGTAATTTTTATATTATTAGCATAAGCATAATAAGTGAGTTTTTATTGATCTATTTATTGATCTCAATTGTCATGAATTAACGAATCTCATTTTCTTTAGATATCATCTAGATAATATGATGGATGTACAAAAAAACAATGAATGTATAATTCTAGACTTTATTGCGCGGGTGTATGTATATTAATGTGCATAACTTACTGTAACCCGACCTTTGGTTTTCGATTGAGGCTGCCGGTTTTGTCGTTCATTTATTCGATAATTCTTATCTCCGATGTCTGTCCTCTAAAAATACGGGTAGATGAAACGGATAACGGAATTATATTGATGTTTGATGTCAAATTATCCCGAACATCCGAGTTTTTCCTTATACTACAAGGTAGCGTGTAATTACAAGTAAGTTTGGGTAGATTTCCTATTTTAGTTACTGATAAGTTTTTTAAACTACAAAGGTACCTCTTTATTTTCCCGGAAAATATATAAATGGTTTATGTAACCCGAATTTGTTTATTTTTATTATTATATTATTATCGTTATATATTTATTTGATATACATTCTTATAAAATCGTTGATTCTTTTAGACTTTGTTATATCATACTTGTCATATTAAAATCTTTTAAAGTGTATTCTGTCTTTTTATATCCTATATAAAAAAAAAAAATCTTTAAATCGCGTTTAAGTTGTTACCCATCAAAAAAATTTTTTTGATAATTATTTGACACTGAAAAATTAATATTGTAAAATGGGTCGTTCAAATAATGTTGGTAACATGGTCGATTCTTCTCTTTCCTCTTCGAATGTTAGAATAGCTACCCCTTCAACTTTTCCTTCTGTGCAGGATCAAATTCAACCTTTTACACCAACCATTGATAAATCTCCTAATTCTATGTCTAATATCAATCCTATAAATTCTTTTAATTTTATTAATCGACAAACTTCAACTACTCCGACTACTACAAATATCATTCTTGATTATTTGTTATATTTGTCTATTAATGCAAGACTTGAACATACAAAGAATGATTTACAAGAAATACCCGAGGAACAGCTGCAATTTGCTAAATTGTATCATAAAAAAGGCCAAGACGTCAAACAGATTGTTGAAGGTACGTGTTCATTTTCTTTCTTTTGATACTTATAATCATAATTATTTATATCTATTACTTTTTATTTATAGGTTTACTACAATCGCATCGTATCCATGCGTCTTCGCTAAGACTACCTTTATCCCTCAAACATCGTTTATATCTATGCCAATTGTTATATTTGGTTTTTGATCGTTCAATCTTATCGTCAACTCCATTAAAGTCCACGCGTGTTCAAAATTCTTCAACAATCCCTACTCGTTCTCAATCTCCTACTTCTCAATCTTTATTATCATCTGCGACAATTAATCTCTCTCAAAAACAACGTGCTCATAAATTACCTGCAAATCTTTTAAAATATGAAAAACATTTTAAAAATCCGTTATTATCTCGATGTCGAAAACATAGATTAAGTATTTGTAATACTTGTCTACAACATCCTAATAATTCTTCTACTATACCTCCATGGTCTCGTAGAAGAGCTACTCCTCCAAAACCTATCCCTTCATGTAAAACTGCTCCCGGATTGATCGATGCAATTCCGGTTTTTATAACTACTAGTGTAATCACTTATCGAATAGCTAATGAACAACAAATGGATTTTGATCATAATGATTCCTCTTTGGTTAAACCTCTTTGGTATGATTTATTATTGGATTTACTTACTCAGGTAAAAAAAAAAAAAAAAAAAAAGTATATTAAGTAAATAAATATATAAATAAATGGGGTCTTTGCCTTGAGAATGACCTTATGAAACATAGTAAATCATATGATCCAAACTTGATTTTCAAATCAAAGACTCCCAAATATATATTATATATTATTATATATTATTATATATTATTATATATTATTATATATTATTATATATTATTATATATTATTATA